CTTGTTTCCATACTTGTACTGAATTCACATTTTAATATTTTATAATGTAAGATATTGAGCATCTGAATAATATGTATTATAAGATACATAATTATTGTTTTTAATATAATTTATCTGTTAACAATACAATGATAAATTTATAGAAAGCTAATGAAATACAACATATCCATTGAGTGTAGCTATTAAAAAAGGAACATGTTTTCTACATTGAACAATACTAAGCACAAAAGGCTATTTAGAATTTTAGGGTAAAGTAATTAAATTTGTGCAAAATATAAAAAAAAAGTTAATAAGTAATAAGTAATTATTACTCAATTTGAAACACTTATGATCAGATTGTAGTTTTCATTTTCGAAATATTACTTATTTATATTTTTATTTTGATCAGAGTATTGTATTGTAAAAGTCTTAATATCAAACCACTGTGCACTTCATTCCACATTCTCTCTAAATTATTTATTATTCTATAGGTTTAAAAAACGTATTAACGTGTCTCGCTACTATACGATCTGTTTTGATTTAGTTAGTAAAACATTAATCTACGCTCATACTATACAATAGAGTACTTATGCAACTGTGGTTTTATAAGACAATAAAGATAAAGTCAATTGCCACACACAGCTATATCAATTATTTACACATGCATGACATTTGACTTTAATTTTTCCAATTCAAAAATTTCTTGTCAAATACGTGAAATATCTTTCATGATAAGAAGAAAAAAAAAAAAAAAAGAAAAGAAAAAGAGACAAGGAAACATGGAATGACAAAGTTTATCCACAGTACTTAAAGGTACACAATTTAAATAAATTCTTTTTACAACCACTACAATATTGTTGCAAAGTAATAGACAAACTTACAGAGATCTGAGAGTCCTGCAATATAAAATAACAATATTAAATTCTAATTGTAAGACTCCACTGTACGATCTATATGCCTTTAAACTTAAATATTCATCCCATTGCACATGATTATACTTTACAGTGTTTCTTTAAATTCATGTTATTGGTGTCTCATCAAGTGTGGATTTTCTAAATATATTGTATTAATCATATAATCTATCTGTACATTCACAACCGTTCAAATACACACACAATAATATTAACATATTTAATAATGGACCAGTAGAAATAAAATATAAGCCTGTTGTTAGATCTTTTATAAACATGACGCTTATTGTACAATTTAGCAAAAATTAAATTTGAAACTAGAGAAATTTAAATTATAAATTTATATTTTGTTCAAAAACAAATATTATAATACTATAATAAAATACATGTTTTATAGAAGCGTTAGTCACATAAAAAGAATAGAAGTGAATAAAAGATTGGTTAACATTAGTAACATTACAAAAGGAAGGACACATAATAGATTACGTTCCCACACGTTTCTCAGAAAGTTTATTTCTGCATTCCATGCAAAAGAGAAATCAATTCACCATAATTCTCATATATTCCGTATCATTCAGTCATCATTTATATAAGTAAGATATTACAGTAATTTGCTATGTACGAATTAATTTCAGTTATTTTCATATCAGATCTGAATAGAAGGCCGTTTTTAATACTTCTACTTCAGTTCTGATTTGAAATCAACTTCTCTCTATATAAGTCCATATTAAATATATTTTACAATAATATTATCATTGTACATGAACAACATATGCTCCACACCTTTAATTGCAATCACTGTCTAATCAACGCAAAGGTGTTTTCATCTATAACAAATAAAATCCAATTAAAAAAGCTATATGTATCGAGAAGTACATATAAATAAAGTATTTTTTACTGTTACGAATAATTCAAACAAATATGTCTGAGTGTCAAATCATTGTATTAACTGATAACAAGATGCGCTGATTAGAATAACGATTGACAACAAGGTGTCAATTAGTTAGAATAGACCTGGGGCCTGGATTTGTATACCCCAATGTGTGCGCCGCCTTGGTACCTGCTAGAGTAAAAGAACATGTTTTATAATTCTGTTATAATTTATAAACAATTTTTTAAAAGTTCGTTCAACAAATTGCATTTAATATCATCGTTATCGAATCAGTACAAATCAACTAGTGAAAATAAACCATTGAACTTTAAATATTATTATTAGTGTATTAAATAAAATTTAAATTTTACTTTTTGATTGAGCATCATAAAGGCATAAAATTTTGTTAAATATAATACTGTTTTCTCCCATAAATTATATATATACTATAAGTAAGATTAACTTTATAAAATAATTAAAAATATAGAATAATAAAACAAAACTTACATGAGAGAGTGGTAAAATAGGCGGAAGAAGGTTATTCCTTATTTTCATCAGAAGGAGTGATGTTAGAGGGATTTTGGGATTCTGATGAAGATGGTGGTGCTTCTGCCGTAGAATCTGTCGCATCTTGACTCGAGTCTGAACTGTCCTTAATGTCCTCATCTTTCTTTTCTTCACTGACACCAATGCTTTTAGACTCTTCAGCAGAATTCTCTGATTCTTCCGTTCCTTTGTCTTCCTTGGAATTTGTATCAGGCAATTTATCAGTGGTATCTTTACTCTCTACCTCCTCTGTAGTTTTGTCTTCACTTTCCATTGCTTCTGTGTCTTTACTTTCTTTACTTTCCTCAACTTCCATTTTTGAAGATTCTTCCTCAGAATGTTTTTCACTTTTATTATTTGCAGCCTCTTCGTCCGTATTATTCTCATTATTTTTCTCTTGTCTTTTGGGACGTCCACGTCCACGTCCAGTACCTCTTGGAGTTGCTGGCTCTCTTTTTTCTTTCTTTGGCGGTGATGGTATTGGTAATGATGATGTCAAACCACGAGCTGAGCTGCGAGTACGTCTTCTACCTTCCATTTCTCCAGTTGGTGGATTTAAATTCTATAAAATAAATTCTATAAATAAGTAAAATATAATTGTTTTCTATCATTAAAATATAATATTAAAATATGATACAAATGTTGTTAATAACATTGAAATATAAGAACAAAGAGAGAATATAAGTGATTTGAAAACACCTATATATATATATATATATATATATATATATATATATATAGTCTATTAATAAGATTTAAAAAAATATATTTATATATATATAAAACAAAAAAATTATTAAAAATAATAAAAATAAAATGTAGACAACTTATTTATATTTGGCGCCTATATTCTAATTGGTAGAATATATCCCCGCTATTCGCACTCCCCTTCCCTTCCCAATCTTTACCAGAGCATATTACCCCCACTCCTTCACTCTTCTTTGCTCACGTAAGCACACACAGCTAAAAGGAAAACTAAATGGAGGGAAACAAGCAAAGGATAGAGGACTGAATGCTTGCTGAATTTTTTTTAGAAAAATGATATTTCAATAAGAGATGAACTCGCACCTTCGTAATTTCTTTACTTTCTTGCGCTGCTCTCTCAAATGTAGAAAGTCTTTTCGTACCACCACGTCTGTTTTTAGTTGGTGTTGATTTTTCTTCTGCTGATTGATCCTAAAAAAACAAAACAAAAAAAAATAAAAAAGAAAGAAAAAAGACATAACACGTCTATATCATAAATCGTTCACTTATCGCATTATTCATACAAGGTAGGCACGCACTTGTTCCCAATGCATTTCGCAACGTAGAAAAATTAGAATTTCTTACGTAGAAAGCGCAAAGCATCGAAGAGTTATAACGCTAAGAATGAAAGAAAAATTTTTACAGTATGACGATAATTACGCGAGTGATAAGATTATCAAGGAACGTTGAACTGCCCGGGATTTGTAGAGTTTTGTTTGAGTTTCCCGCCATTTTGCCATACATCACCACATTCACACTTCTTCAGTACCACAATTTCATTCATGCCGTGTCGAAAAGGATGGAATTCCATAACGTTCAGAAGCGCGTGGCAAGTGTAATCATCCGTCGGTTCGACCATTTCCCGCCTTTTTCACACTGACTCGCCGGCATGCGAGCAGCGACTCTCCTCGTCACGAGAATCACAAATAAAAAACATCCACCATTTTTACCAATGAAGGACAAACGGCGCAGCTTTGAAAAATCACTGAATGTGTAGCCATACGCGACAAAGGTCACGTTTCAACTATGTATACTTTTTCGTATTCTGCTAAATCGCTTTACAAATAGGATTCCTCATGCGTAACACACGACACGCTTAGAATTTTCGAGATATACAGCGTCATACCGTATTTCAGGGAACCGCACGCCGCCTTGGCATGAAAACTCGACTTGACGAAGGTCTTTCATATACTTTCGATCTCTTACCTTGGGTACATCATCGATGCTGTTATCATTCTTGCTTTCTGCCTTGATATCAGACATTTCTCCGTACTTGAATCACTTAAGAACACTGGAAAACGATGATTTCTCTACAAGAATTCGCGCTGAGCCCGGTCGCACTGTTTATACGATAAGCAAAGATGGCGGTTAGCGTGGGTCACGTGATATCGTCAAACTCAGAGCGGGAGTTCATAGCGCCGCCTTGTGATCGAATATTAAATTGTACGCGTAGCGACGTAATATACGCCCGGAAGGTTTAAATATAACATTCTTTTAAGTGACGTCGTATCTAATTTAATTTACAAAAGGACAAAAAGCATACGTTTCTATTTTTCACTTACCTGATTGCAAATATTTTATACTATTTGCTTTTCTTTTAACATTATGCTTGAATTATAAATATCTTATATTCATATTATTTACTTAAATAAATAATTTTTAAATTTTCATCATACTTTTCATATATACAAACTAATAGAACGATAGCAAAATGAATCGCTATCATTTTCATTTTAACATAATATCAAATAAATATATACAATCATTAAAATACTAAAAGCACAGTTCAAATCAAACTTGATTGCTTCACTTTAGCTTTTCTTAAAAAATTAGAAAATTATAAACAATATGTATGTGTTCATAAAAATTTTCTAATATATAGTAGAACTTCGTATAACGTGACATTTATATGATGTAATAAATACATTACGGTAATTTTCGTATAGTCCTTTTTTTTTATAATTGGCAACGTATTTGCACATCATTTGAATAATAAATCTTGCATAACACGGAATGTACCTGCCATATTAAACGAAGATCTACTATAAATATTTAATGAGTTGGCATTCTTCTGAACCAGAATCTTGCTCTAAAATCATCACTACATGTCAAAAATGCGGGTGCAGTTGGTGAGTGAACAATTAACCTTACAGGCCCATTATGACCTAAAGATAATAACTGTTTTCTTGATGCATTTCGAGAATTCCAAGCACACAAGGATGTAGTAGCTTCATCAGGAAACATTACATAATCTTCTGTGTGATTAAAAATTGCTTGTGCTTTATGTTCTTGTTTACCTGCAGAATACAATGTAATGGTCAATGCATACCTTCAGTTGGTGTAGATATTTATTCATTAAATAGTTTTGTATATCTATATTTATAAATATTAAAGATAAATAAATATTAAAGTTATGAAGACAAATTTTCAAGTAATTTAAAATGTATATTTTTACCTGTTGTACCAGCTCCAGTATATGCTATTAAGCATCTACTTGTTGACAATTCCCATAATTTTATCAAAGAATCTTTTCCAGAAGACAATAAATACTGAAATTTATAGTTGCAATATCATATTGTAGTCAAATATTATTAAAACATTGTGCACTTATTTTATTAGGACACAAACAATATTTTAAAAGAATTACCTTTCCATTTCTTGTAAATGTCACTGAACATACTTCATAACCATCATGCGCTTTAACAAAAGTATTTATGCAACGATTTGAAACACCATCCCACAATTTAATACTTCCATCTTTACCAGCTGATGCATATGTTTTTGCATCTGGAGAATACTTTATACTAGTTATTCCAGCTGTATGTTGATGATTAGGTATACTGCACACAAAACATTGAGCTGTGTTCACATCATATAACCTTACAACTGGATGATTAGTTCCTACTACCAAAAAATCACCAGTTGGATGAAATGATAAACACCGTATTTGATCAGCATCTGTAATTGTTCTAAATGCCTTCTTGACACTTGCTTTACTAAAGTCAAATAGTTTCACAGAAAAATCACGACTGCCAGATACAAGTATTGGTTCACGTGGATGAAATTCTAAACATGTTACTTCTTCCAAATGATCATATAATGTTCGTATTACTGGATGACCTCCAGTTTGATCACCAGGTGCCATTTCATCTGGTGCAGATTTTGCTAACATTCTATCCACATCTAAAATTTTAATAGATGCATCCACTGATCCAGTAGCTATTAATTGTCCATCTGTAGAGAAAGCCCCTGCTCTACAATTTCCTTTATGGGAAGTAACATAAGCTGTTTCATATTGTGCTGGTTCTGGCGCTTGTGTTTGAGCTTCTGTTTCAAATTCTAGATCTAAACCAGGACCCAATGTATTATCAAAACTTGTAGTAAATGTGGATAAGTTATTTGTGTCCTTTTTAGTACGATCTGGTTCATGAGCAGCACCAATTAACATAAGATGAAGTAATCGATCCGATGGTGGACATGGAGGTTCTGCTTGAATCATGTTAGACAATTGTACGGCAAGTGTTTGATGACCATCATAAAATAATTGACTGAAATCAATAATACACATTGTTTGTATTAAATGTGAGTTTCTAACATTTACTTATAAATATGTACACATATTAATAATATTTCAATTATACAATTTTATAATTGTACCGAATAGTTAGAAAAACATCGTCAAAATCGTTATAAATTAAAAGTTAAAGATTAGAAAATTTATTAACCTGATCATAAGTCTGTAAAGTAATTCTCTACTTTTTATTATATTTTTTGGATCCACGTCAGGTTCCTTCATAATGTTATGAGTTTCTTTATTTCCGGAAGGCGACTGAATGTTGGTTACTTGTTCGGAATTCTTCGAAAAAACGCCCATCAATCGACCTTTCTACCCGAGGTTATGTCTGCTTGTTGTGATTCTTCTTACGGTCACGTTTTCCAACTACTTTCTGTGCGATAATTTAATTGGTCGACTTATTTCTCTCACAAAGTTCTACCAATCAAATCTATTTATATCTAGTAAATATTGATAGAAATTATACTTGTAATATGTCTAAATTTTAGACAAAATGGCCGAAGAACATAAACTACAATGTATAAATAAAATTAAATCGAAAAAAAGTAATGTTCAGTACAACGTTATAAAAACATTATTGTCAAATGGTAATTATATATTAAGGAAACGGCAACCTAAATTAATTAGACAAGTTAACAGGGATATATACGTGACAAATAAAACAGATTTTAAGGTAATTTTGGTTAAAATGTGATCTTAATTTTGTTTTTATGACAATAATATTATTTGGTTAATAATAAACATATTATATCATATAACAATGAAGTGTTAAAAATAAATATATGATTTTATTATAAATTAAGAAAAATATTGTTATAGGCACAAATAAGCAAGTGTGAAAAACTGCTTAATATTGGTGTGTCTGAAATAATAATTCATGGACTTGGTGCTGCTATAGATAGAGCATGTAATTTGGCACTTCAATTGAAAGAAATTCATCATAATAGCTTAGACTTGGACATTAAAACTTCTACTGCAGAACTTATTGGTACATATCACATAAAATTACATTCAGAAATTATTATATATGTATAGTAAAAGTAAACTAATTCTTTTTATTTACAGATGACTTTGAACCACTTAATGATGATTATGATTATAAAGTGAAAATGAGACGTAATTCTGCCATACATATTCGTGTTTTCAGAAAAGAACCAATGGGAATATTGCAGTGTAAAGCAAAATGAATTACAATTTAGCAGAACAAACAATATTTGTACAGTTATTTAGAATACATTAAGCAGAATTTCCAGATCATTTCATTATTTTTCTTATTATATTGCAATGATTTTTTCTTTACATGAATTAGTGCACTGGTTAGGTTTAACAATTTTTGAAATATGGATAAATTTAGTTTCCTTAACAATATTTACAATTCTATTAGCCTTAAAATTAGATGATAATTATTTCTTAGAACATACAGGATGGTGGATTGTTTTCTCGCCATTATTTATTGCAGATGGTTTTAATACATACTTTTGTGCTATCATATTCATACGTATGCATATGGAAGGAATGATTCAGGTAGCCATTTTAAGAGCATTATGGAGTTTAATATCATTATTATTAATATTTGTATTTAAATATTTGCTATGTAAAAAGCTTTCTGGGCAAAGTACTCTAGAGTATTCAGAAGTATTGAGTCCTGTTTTTATTCTTTTACAACTAATTGCTGTTAGAGCATGTCAACTTCATTGACCTAAACAAAACAATGTAACAAATATTTCTGAATCTACAGTAGTATTTCCATCTCAATCACTTGCAATTTATGATATTGCCTATAATGTATTTGCATATAATGTATGATTATAGAGAATCAAAGAATACATGTAGTTGTAGGTACCAAATATAACACGGAATTTTAAATAGTAATAACTATACTCATATCCTATTATTCGATAGATATAATATACTCCTTGATATTTGTTTGTTATTTAAATCTAAAATAAAATTGTTTATATATATTTTCTCTATAATTAATGTGTGTTTTACATGTACTGCAGAATTCTTTCATACCTCTACATTGTATTATTTAGTTAAAAAAAAAAAAAAAAAAAAATGATTGAATATATTCAATATAAAAATGTATCAGGACATTTCAAATGAAAGTTCTAAGAATGTCAAAACTAATGGAAATGTTCTATATCTTGGTTTTATATTGAAGTTTAATGGAGAAAGAAATATTTCGATTGTAGATAAACTGAATGATTTAGAATTAGGTTTTTTTTTAGATATAAATATTATAATTTATTAAGATGACTTTGAAGTAACATTTACGAAAAAATAATGATAACAATATTTTATACAAATAACGAAAATACTAAAGTTGTTATTTATAAATTAACTACAAGTTCGTATCAATACATATTTAAAGTTTAATTAAAAAAGATATTATTGACATATAAACTAGTTATATAATATGCCTATATGTAAGAATATATATTACATTTAATATCTATATGCATTTACATAAACGCATTCATGGGATTTATACGTATGTATGCGCGTGCGAAAATCGATAAATTTTACAGTATAATAGTTCAATCTAATGTATAAACAATTGATAGGCCTATAACGTGAGCAGTCCTGAATACCCCTTCCAACCCTCTTCAAGCAAGATCAATATTTCTAGCTGAAGGGAGACAGAGCATCACTGTGCTAAGAGAGGGGATGTGAATAAACTCTCTCTATGGGTAAAGCCTGTTGCTGGTATCACATTTAAACATTTATCTTTTCTCTGTGCATTTCTTTAAAATTAGTGATTATTTCAATAATGTTAAATTAAGGAATTTGATAAAATATAGTGATGTGCTGTGGTCAGCAGTCAAGGGATGGACAAGCTAACTAATTTTACTCGTGGTCAGTTTTTACTTGTTATTGTATATATATCTGTGATGTAAAAATAGTGATAGTGAACACTATTTTTACTTATATATGTATTTACTGGAAACTATTGATAATAACATCAATACAAGCCAATATCTGTTACTAATTATTTATTATTTCTTAATTAAATATTATTTATTAGTATCGTATAATAATTTTTATACAATATTAACAATATTTGACAAAATTTTAGTATAAATGTGTGATAGTGAGAAGTGAATGGAATAACATTAAGTATTTGTATTCATATGCTTAAATTATTGTTCTATAATTAGGTATCAATACTACATCTCCAATATCAGCGCAGAATTGTGTTTCAAATTCAACAAGCTCAGCATTTCTTGACAGAGTGTTAATTACTGCTCCATCGTGGATTTCTGTAAATCAAGATTTGAGATGGATTTTTCTTCTGCATACTTACGGATTTGCAAGCCTTTTCTTTGTACTTGGATTTTACACGTTTTTCTCTATTTTAAATTTAAGGTATCAATATATAAATTATAATAGGTATAATACGAAATTATAATAAAATATAAATAATTATTAATATTACAGATCCCTTATATCAAGCCGCCCTTTTATGTCAACGATTAATATATTTTTATGTTTATTGGGTGCATCAAGGGCTGCATGTTTATGTATAGATCCTTATAATCTTAAAGAAATAATGCCAAAGATTATAGGGTCCACTATGTGGGATATTGGATTTCCTTGTATTACTTCTGCATTTTGCCTTATACAATTGACCTTCTTGCAATTAACACAAGTACATTTGAAAATTATAAATGTTCTCTATTTATTTATTTATTTTTTTTTTTTAATATTATTTGTATTATCATATATCAATGATGTTTTTTATAATTTCCAGCTTAAGTTTGGGCCAGAAAAGATACAAAAGGAATCATTTCTTAGTCTTATTATAACAGGACATTTTTTTTTTGTAATTGTAAGTGATGTTGCTTTAACATCACATAATTGTTATATGGCAAAATATTTGGTGCAAACTGTATTTCTGATATGGAGTATTCTTTTATATTTAACATTTCTGCATGCAGGCTATAAAGTCATGCATTTATTGAAAACAATGCCAAGTAGTATGTTAACAAGAGACAATTCTAATGCTCATCACAAAGGTTTGTTTCTATCGTTTATTTTAAATAATCATTCTATACAACTTTATTAAAATATTTTAGGCATTATGCAACTTGCTATGCTAGCACCATATAGCAATCTTGCAACATCAGTAGCAGCTGCTGCGTTGGTGCCTACTTTATTTAGTCCTAAAATCAAAGATTCAGAAGAGAATGAAAGTGCCAATGTTGAAGGAAATTCAGAATATAAAGGTATTATGAAGTATATGATTACTGGCACTTTCAAATTAATATCGCAAAGATTGAAAATAATAATAAAAAAAAAAAAAATTAATTTTTAGGTAATTCTTTAAAAATATCTAAAAAACAAGAACAAGATCAAATGGAAGTGTCTCGCATTGTTTCATCATCTTTACGTGAAGAGACTTCTGTTCAACCAGTATCTACTGTACCTGAAGTTTATGTTAGACCACCGACACCTACGCCATCAACTGCAAATTTACCAATAATAACAGTTTCTAGTCCAAGTCGAAGAAGCTCTTTAGCAAGTAGACGTGGGAGTGATGTATCTCGTTCATCACGTAGAAATTCAGAATGTAGTGTTAAATTTGTAAATGAAGAAGATGTTTTACCAATTACTGACTTCAAATATGGTGTTGAATTCAGCCCTAAATATTCTCCTAGTATTAATAGAAATCAATCACCAGAACGAATAGCACGACGACATTCTGAGAATATTACACCGACTGGCAGCACGAAAGAATTAAGAAGGTGTTCAGATTTTTCTCATGAAAAAAATCGTAGTTCTCAGTTTGCCACTAAATTGAGAAGGAATAGCGATTTTGGTAACAGAACACCAAGAAGAATGTTACCCCCAGTTGAACAGAGATTGCCAAAAGTCTTAGATCTCAGTCCTACAGGTAATTATAATAAAGCATATGTATTTGTACCATATTATTTAAATATATGTAACTTTTAGGTTCACGACGTAATTCTGATATTGGCACTTTTATATCTGCTAAACACGAGTCAAGAAGAAATTCTGACTTCTCCTATAGACGAAATTCCGAAATGGCACAAATTAAGCCATTAGTTATAAATCGTCGTAGTAGCGATATAAGTATTAGAACATTGGATAAAAGTCCTACTCATTATCAAAGTATAGTTCCTCAAAAAATAGAAATACAGGAGAAGTCTGAATCGGATTCAGATCAACCGGATTGTAATGAAAAAGCTGCATTAATGAATGAAAAGATAAAGAATAAAAGTGAAGATACAAAAGTACGAAAGAAAAGCTTGTCTTGGAAAACGGATAAAAATAAAGATGAATCAGAAGAAATTACAGCTGAAACAAATTTGCTTCCTGAAAATTCTGGAGCAGAGAGCAAAATTACGGTACATTTAAACATAAAGTTAACAAATAAATGAAATACAGCACATGTATATAAAAAGATAACTTGGTAATTGTTTGTAGGGCACTGATTTTACATTGCATTCAATACTAAATCACATAGCATACGTGAATAGAGCTAAATCTGATACACCGTTGCATATACCAGAAGCCACTACTGCAGCTGTCAGAAGATCTCAAATTCGAAGAGTGTTACATGTTACATATACTACAGCAATTTTAGGAATCATATTGTGTATCATAGATCTTGTTCGTGTTTTTGGACCTTATGGTAATACTTCGGTTTTATATTAATTTATATAGAAATGAAATTATTAATATATTATTATATAAATATATTATATATTTAGGACTCTTAGCAGAAGCAGTAACATATGATACACGGCCATTGCTAAATCAATTTCCCAAGCCATGGCCTTGGTTATTATATCAAACATTGTGCAGAGCCATAGAGCTCATAATGGGTTGTGCAATGGCAAGTATAACAAAACAACCATCGGTAAGCCCACGTCATCAATATTTAAGTAGTTATCCCAATTATAGCACACGTATGAAACGAGGTAACAATCTTTACATATAAAGCAATACTCATGTCAGTCATATAACAGACTGAAGAACCAAGATGCCAAATTGAATATTTCCATGATCTTATATACCATCTATCTTCATTAAAACATTTACAGATTATTCTTGTATGACCATCTTCTACTAACGTATAATCCATATTATTAAATCTTGTTAAGTAACAAGATCTTATTATAAATAACTTTATATTTAAAAAAATTGTGTGTTTCTAGACGGAACAGTCAGTAATATATTTTTATTGAATTGTTTACCCTGTTTCATACTTAAGAAATCTAAGTTATTTCTATTTTACAAAGAATCTGCAAAATATATTTTATTTTGATACTATATTTTTAATGCTAACTGGGTGTGAAACTCAAAAAAAAAAGTATCAATATTATAGACTGGTAGAAAGATCAGAATATGATCAAATACTATAGTAGAATTGCAGCAATAGATCAGTGCAACATTCTAAAAAAAAGTGTGTTCTAATAAGATATCTTTTATCTTTATAATACAAGTTTACATACAACTTAATGAATAAAGCTTTCATTTGGTTATACATATATTATTCGAGGTAAATATATATTTTTTTAATTAAAATATATATAACACGATTACACTGCTACTCTTTATGTTATTATTATCTTATTGAGTACATTATTCTATCAAATACAGTATTAGTAGAGATTTTAGTCAAACAAATATGTTTTATGATATAATAGATATATTTTATTTGTGAATTTACTTTAAAATAGAAAGTATTAATGGAATCTCTAAAAAAAAAAAAAAAAAAAAAAAAAAAAAAGTATTAGTATAATGAATGAGGCACTGATAATAAACAAAGTGATGACTTTTTACCAAGTATTCACTGCGCTCATGATTATGGTAAAAATTTGTTCCCAAATTTGAAGTGCCCTATTATTACATGTTTGAGAAAATTACTTAGTATTAAAGATATATGTCTAAATAATTTGTCAGTAATGAAAACGTGTAACAGTGTTGTGATCCTAAATGTGATAAAAGTTTATGTATTTAGGGTAGGAGACCATTTTATGCTTATGCAAGTTTTGCATAATATCTTATTCTGCGAGATGAAAGACTGGTTAATGTGACATATAAATTTTTATGTTCTTTTGAAATTTTACTATTTAAATATATTTTTCCCTATATTATATATAATTAAAGATAAATAAATTTATTTTATTAAATATTTTGAAATTATATTGAAGAATATCAAAATTGTCAAAAAGGACATAGTTAAAATGATTTATAACTTTTTAATATGTTATGAAGTAAATGTTTTTTTTTTCAATACAAGTAATTATGAGCAATTATTATATAATATATATATATGAGGAAAAAGTTATTTAATAGAAGCATAAAAGGTCTCAGTATTTGTCTATGTAGAATTTATGACAGATTTTAGTAGTTCAAAATATCATTAATGTTCAATGTGCCAAATACTCGTGTTATCTACTTACAAATGTCTACAAAGAGATTGTCTACATAAGATTTTACTCTACATGAGTACTCCTACAAATATAAATAACAAACAGCTATTTATATACAATTGGATGTTCAATAAAACAGATCTATCTTTTCAATTAAACTTAAAACAGTTATATGAGAATATATATATAGCACAAAACTATTTTTATGGATACAAAATTCATTGTGAATATTGGAAATTTCATTATTGTAAAATCTATGTATATTGTAATGTTAAACATATTGGAATAGCAATTAATATCTTTACAAACGTAATCATTTAATCATAAATGAATTACAAAACAATTTCAGAAATGTAATACATATTTATAATACATGATTAACCACATAACTATCATACAGTATTGATAAGCAAAAAACATATATATGTACACACACATATACACACATGTATTTTGTTGCAGTATAATTTCGAATTACACACATTTATGCTTTTTTCTTTAGAAGTAGAATTATTTTAATAAGAAATACATAAACATTGAAAGGATAAATAAAAGAATAGTATATTATAGTTGAATTTTCATATATTTACTATCTTTTTGTGAAAAGAAAATAAATAATTGTTGAAACATAATTTTGCATAATTTCTGAGAATAGAATATAAAAAAATATAATATATAAATTTGGAAAATGTTAATTGAAACAACTAATTAAAGTACATAATTAGAATTGATATATAGAAAACAATATAATAGAAGCCATAATAAGTTGGATCTTGAAAATTATGATTGATAATTCAAATAATTTACATACGCACATTCTACTCTCTTGTGTATTGGTGTTATCTATACATACATGTTGGTTGTGTGGGACGAACTGATCACAAAAAAGCTTTAATAATTAACATTGCTGATAAATTACAACAATTATATTATGAAAGACAATTGCAAAAAATAAATGAAATAATTGAAAATATGTCCTGCTTTTATATCATTATAAAACAAAATAAATAATGATCAAAGTATAAGAATTTAGTAGTGAATTACATATATCTTTTTTAAACAAATATTTGAAATATTATTATCAATTGCAATTATGAAATCATATACAGAAAATACATATATTAAATCTCCTACTTTGCCAAGATTTATTGTCTTGCTTTAATACTTTTTTTACGATTTTTGGTTAAAAGGAAATAGTAATTGTGAAATTCTATAAGGATATTTATTGGAATGATGAATAAACTCGTACAAGTCTTTTATCAAGCAGATCATACTACAGTTATTTTTATTTATATATATTTTTTTTTTATTTTTGTATTTTTTTTACTCTCACTCGATTTATCAGAATGTAGAAATGCATACTTTCTACCCTCAAATACACAGTATAGAAATCTTATATGTCAAGCATAGAACTACACATAAAACAGAAATATTATATTCAAAAGGAATTTCTTATTACGCTAAACAGATTTCTTTATGCCTTTTTATCTGTGCCTTCACCATGTAATTCATTTATGTAATTTGACTATATTATAATGAATAATTTTATTTTATGCATAAATGTATTACTAAGAAAATTTGTTTGATTATATATACGTATTATGTTATAAGATCTCTAAGAATTCTGTTTAACTTATCAAACACTCATTAAACATATCCTTGTAAAACATTGTAACTTTTCATCATATATCATTGATTATATTAATATTTGTCTAATTAAAAGATATATCAAAATTTCACCCAAAAAAATAATGTTATATTCTTACAAGTATGATTATAAAGTGAATGAATAATAAACTGCACAGTCTAGCAATTCTCCGCAGTTTGTTTATCAATTAATTTTCAATGGATTGTTAAATATTATGAAATTAATAAATACGATTATTAATTCTTCTTAAAAATTATTAGTTCCAGTTCATAAGCATACTGCTACTTTTTTTTTTAACTTATAGAAAAGATACGTAAAAAGTAAATTATATTGAATATATAAATAGTTAATTACCTGCTTATTTATAACCTTTAACCTTTATAATCAAAATAATCTATTTCTGGTTCTGGCGATTTTGAAGTTGATGGAGTTGGTACAATTTGCTGACTTCTTGTTATAGGTAATGCTAAGATTGTCCTATAATATAATTAAATATTAATATAATATTTGTACTTTATCCTATAAACTAGAATAAATATACAAACTTACTTTGTTGAATTGTTAGCTTTAGAAGTATTCAATATTGGACCTGGAACTTTCCTTTGTCCATTGTTTCTTTGCACAATTTCTAATAAACTATAACTTGGTAGCCAACACTGTAGTACAATGAATAAATTAAAAAATGTATTAACAGTTTTATATATATATGTATATATTACGCATACAAATATATTTATCTATTTGTGTGTGTGTGTGTGTGTGTGTGTGTGTACCAATAACAAAAGAGTGAGAAAGAAAGAGTATTACCTTATCTTTTACAGCAGTAGCAACAACGTTTCTTTTTGGCTCTAGATCATATGCTTGACTCTCACAGCCAAAATGTTCGCAAGATTCATGAATAAAGCGACGTTTATCTCTATTCATACTATCAAATGAATAACTCCTTGACTTCTGTTTAGAAGTCTTTGCGAGTTGAACTAATTCCGTTAGTTTTTCATGCACCATTTGACAAAAATGAGGATCTTTTTTTGCCCACTGTTTCATATAATCAGTGTATCTTGGCATTAATTTTCCGCTTAAGTCTGGATTAACAATTTGAAGTCCTAATGCTAATCTTCTATTTCGTTCTATTAATTTACATTCATCGCTACATTCGAGTATTTTTAGTTGATTTTGTTTCTTTGCTCCTGGTCCAAAAAGTTCTTCTAAATCAACAGAATGACCAAGTTGCATATCAGCCATTTTACTAGCTAAAATGTTGCTAGTTATTCTTTGATATTCTCTAGAATTTTCTGCACATACTCTAGTTGTACTTCTATGTCCACATTGGCACGTTACCTACAAGTATAAACGTATTTAGCAATATATACAAATATATTTTTAAAATATTTTATGTCATTTTACGTACTTTGACCATTTCTTTACAAGGTGTATCAGGACATTTTCCCTCGTGACATGGAGCAGCACATATGTGCCCACATAATTCCCTTAATATATTACATGGTTGAACACATTGCTGTCCTGGTTTCTCACATGATCCAGGGTGGCATATAGTTATACATTTATGCCTTCCACATAATAAAGGTTTATTGCACAATAATCCACATGAAATTTCATTAAAATAACATGGGACAGCTTTTCTAAGTTCATGCTTGCCATAACACCATTTTTCAGTAAGATAAGTACATGGAGGACATGATGGTTCACTGTGGCAATTATGAAATACTTCATGACCACAAGAATGATCACGCGAACACGGTCTATCACAAACGGGTCTTCTAGTTCCACAGGGTACAGGAGGATATATTACAGCTGTACCACATTCACAATATAATTCGTCAAAACTACTGCGCCAGCAAGGTTGACACCTGCCTAAATTAATACATCTTTCATTAAAAATCTCTATTTAACAAATCTTTAATTAAATAAGGAATTATTTGATTTTAAACATTTATAGAAATATAATTCCAAATATTTTTACCTTTATGGCAGGTTTGTTCACATTTATGTCTACCACAACTTAATGTTTTAGAACAAGGTAAAGGACAAATATGCTCAAGATCAATACAACACATTTGATTACACTTATGTTTTCCACAAGATCTCTTTTTGATACATTTTTTTTCACAACGTGCATCATCCGCTTTAGTCGTTAAATCTTTACATGGAATTTCTCTATCCATATTACCACAACGACATTTTACATCTGTTGTTAAATCACACTCGGGACATTCTCCTTGATGACACTTTATCTTACATGTATGTGGATTACCTTGAATAAAAAAA